AGTAGGTAGAGCGCTCGCTCCGTGATCATGAGGTCGTGAGTTCGACTGACCCAGTCGATAAAATGAATAGCAATTGTTCCTTCGCCATGCACTCGGCACTTTAAAGTGAAAGTTACGGGTCCTTCGGATGAGACCTTAAAAACCGAGGCCCCGTGTCAGCGGCAGGCGTTGGCACGGGACAGATCCCTCACTGCTCAATGGCCCTAAGTGGCGAGTAAAGGAAAAATTTAAGCCCTTCACCGACATACGATGACGTCTCCATATGAGTGAAAAATTCTCGAGAGGGACGTTAAACAATATACAATAAATCAATTAATCAATCTATGTGTTGACAAATTTTATTGATTTTGTCAGCATGCTATTAGGTCCTTTGTGTTATGTACACATATGTAATATGACAACAGTCAGAGTCAGATATGTTCTGAAAAATACAATAGTCATAACATAAGAGAAGATATTCAGAAAGCTCAACTTAGAAAATTCTGAGATTTTATTTAAAAAAAATCAAATAGTTGGAACTTAGTCAGTGCGCGATAGATTTTTATTGCAGTTTTTGTTGCAAAACAATGACGTCGCTTTTTCAATTGTGACGTAAAATTCTGTCAGATTGCATAAGGGGGGGGGGGGTTGCTTGGAACGGCTCATTTGAGAGAATCACGTTATTTACTATATTTAGCTATATGTTTACAAATGTTTTTGTGCTATTTATCAATTTGCATTAAATCAAGTATGGAACAAAAGATCTAAGCTTTAATGATAATCAGTGGGTTGTTTGAAGATTTATATATAAATAAAATGAACGGAACTTACTTTTTATGATATAAAATCGAATTGTTTGCTTTAAAACATTTAGTTTTGCAAATTGTTATTTCTTTCGTAATACAGAATTTTCTTTAGAAATAAGATTTAAATTAAAAAAAATTATGCATAGATATGATACATGCATATCAGTTTTCATAAACAGATTAAATTATTGGGGTTTTTTTGTCAAAAAGACCTTTATCAACCATACTATTTTTCGCAAGTGTCGCATATCAAATCAAATATTCCAATGAAAATAAAAGAAAACCTACATCAGTGACATAAGAAAAGTAACTGTAGAGAAAAAAGACAAATCTGATGGAAGTATTCAATTTCTCTTACATCACTTTTATTTAAGAAATCACTTATTTCAGTCTCAATAACGCTTTTTTAGGACATCACTGCAGCCAGTTTAACGTAGGAATCGGACAGGTAATAGAAGATGTTAAAAAATGTGACGTCTGTCCTTTTAACTATGATTCCACTGAAGGATTTAAGTGTACGTATTGATATATTTTAGATAAATGTACAATAGTTATAACACATTTTAACACAATATTTAAAACGATTTTGAATTTCAAAATATATAACAAATGATAAATTTTATTAATTACTGATGCAAAATGTCGATTTGCTGTTAGAATTCCAAGGACTGGCATATCAGAGAAGCATTTTAACTTAAAGAAAACCATTATAACGAGGCGTAGCACAGGACGTGGGACCACTTTTGAGCAATGGCTTCTAGAAATTATTGAAACGTACATAAACAAGAATTGTACAAGTAAAAACAGGTTTCGTGAAAATAAGAAATTATAATTCCTCTTACCTAGTATATTTAAACAGCCGTCTAACCGTTAAAACGTTCGTCTCTGAACCTAAAGGTCGAGAATTCGACTTATGATATTTAAGCACACGTTCTGGACTTAGGTTGAGTTAATGGTAACTTAATGGGGGTGTATTTTTTTTTACTTAAAGGCAGGGGTGGGGTGATGGTAAAATGTAATGGTAATTGACTGTAATTAACCAAAAAATTCGATGTAATTGAAAATAATGCGTAATTGGCCAAATTTACAATTGCAAGTTATTGTAATCTAATTAATTACTTAAAAGGCATGAAATTCACAATTACTTATCATTAAATCACACTAAATTTAAAACTGTGAAAAAAATAGACCCCCTCCTTCATCTCACGAACATTATTTAAAAAATGCTATCTCATCTTTTGGTCGAAATATATTGATACATGTGGTAAGATTTTTACAGAGAATTCTAAAATTCTTAAATAGTCAAATTTTGCTTTTTCTGATTAAATATTGCCCTTTTTCACTTTTTAAAAAAACTTATCTGTGTAAAGTGTTCAAAAAAATTTACATATTGATCTTTTGATGAATTGATATAATTGAAAAGAAGTACTCCAATGGCTTCTATTCCTGATATGTTTGCCATATCTTCAGCTTGTGGTTAGAGTTATTAACATGTGCTAATTAGTGCCCGGGGGTCATGTCCATATTCTTGTACGGATATTTTTCATACATTTTGACTTTGTCTTTTGGTATTTTTATTTACATGTACTTTAATTAAATTGTATATAGTTTGGCGCATAATAAGTCTAATTCCAAAATTTTGAGATATAGTTTATGATGCTGTAATTAAGAAATATTATTGCAAAAACATCCACTGTACGTTTTGCAAAAAATTATTGGAAAGTTTTAAAATTACACCTTTTTAAACATAAATTAAAGTGAAATCCTGAGTAAACGTTTGCCTAATCAATCTTTATCTCTTCCTCTCACAAATATCATTGTTAAAAGAATCTTTAGCATGTCAAGAAAAATTTTCAAGTATTAAATTTAGGTTAAGGAACACAATATTTTAAAAATTGTTTTTACATTTTTTTAAAATATTATTGTAAAAATGTTGTGAAATAATCTAATATAAATATTAAGAAATGCATACGTCCATTTACTTTTACAAGTGTTTTCTTCAATGTAATTTGAAATTCAATTAATTGCATTTTGCAAAGTAATTGCAATTTTGTTAATTAAATTTAAAAATCTATGTAATAAAATTTGTAACTTAATTGAAGATTTTGGGAAAGTAATTGTAATTAAATTTTTTACTTGATACCATCCCTGCTTAAAGGTAGCTGAAAGGTGTTTCATGGTGACTTAAAGACAACTATTTAGCTACATACATAAGCTGCCATTTAGCTAAACTTAAAGGAGCTGTTTCATCTGTGCAGCTAAGATATCTTTGAATGCTTATTTTTTGCCATTCTCGGGATTCTTTAAGCTTATAAATATTTCATCAAATGCATGTCTTTGATTCGACAGCTTTTTTTTGGGGGGGGGGGTGGAGAGAGAATATTTTGCTTGCCAATTGTTACATTTTTTTTTAAATGTATTGTATAAGTATTTTAGCCAATCTTACTGCCTCACTGACTACCCTTTAATCGACTTTCAATACTGGTGTATTTTCTCTCCTTTTAACAAAACGAGATATTGAAGACAACAATATTTTGTACAGATAACCAATGTTATGAAGACATAGTAATACGATCCTCGACGAATCGATTTGAGGAAGCACAATCAAACAATTTATTCAACAAGACATCAACAATTAAAACAACGTTTACTGCACCAAGTGAGCCACTCACAGGAAAGACATCGAAAGAAGGCCCAAGACTTATCGGGTATTATTTAATTGACGGAATTAATATTGTAACTCAAATTCAAATAACTAGGTTTCAAAATGTTATATACAATAATCTATCATTTAATTGTCCTGAAATTCAGGAAATGCATAAAAATATAGTGTTTCTAAAGCTTCATGGAAATCAATCTTCTAAAAAATTGACAGGTATATATTCTTCTTTTTCAGAATGATGTTTTTCGCGATTTGCCTTATTTGTGCGTTTACTGTAGCTATAGTCCTATTAAAGAAGTAAAGTGCCTAAAGAAATGTCAAAAGACTGTTGCACGCTAAATTTATCAGTGCGAACGTAAGTTTTGTGATAAGACCAATAATTCCTTTAAAGAAAATATGATGATGAATTCGAGTTGTAAGGGTGAGTGAGGGTGTGTGTGAGGGTGTAAAAGGGTGTGTGTGTGTGTATGTGTGTGAGGGAGGTAGGGTGTGTGTGTTTGTGTGTGTGTTTGTGTGACTTCTAATATATCTGTTTCAAATTTTTGCTGTGATTATCTCTCAGTTTTGTATAAAAATTATGTTTGTCTCACAGTAAAATGTATTAAAAAACCTGAATAATTTGAGTTCTCATTTACTTTCATCACAAAGGCTATGTATCTCATTTATTTCAAAATGGTTTAATATTAAATGTATGGTACTTTGAAGCATATTTTCATCAACACTTTCTACACGAGGAGAAAAAACAGTATGAGTATTGTGAATACCTATTCCAGAGATATCTCGAACTTTGTTCCACTGAAGTGTTATAATATTATAAATAATGATGAAAATGGTGAAAACATCGTGAATTTAATCGGATGATTTTCATGAGATCACTAAATGGTCGCAGTTTTTGAAACTCTAGTGAATCGTCTGTTTGAAATTCATGTACATATAAACATGTAATATTGTGAATATAATACAGTGCAAAAAATATCAATTTTAATTCATAAAAGACCAGAAATCTCTCTCTCTCTCTCTCTCTCTCTCTCTCTCTCTCTCTCTCTCTCTCTCTCTCTCTCTCTCTCTCTCTCTCTCTCTCTCTCTCTCTCTGAAACTTCAATAAGTTCTTTAAGAACAAAAATCTTTTGCGATTTACTGATGATTTGTTAATTAAATTAAATTTTACAATATGCATGATATGACAGAAGAAGTCCTGGAGAAACAATATTATTTCTGAAGTTGAAACTATTTTAATGTAGGATTTTTTAAAATACAGTATTGACTCTAAAGCGTAAATAGATGAAAAAATTAAAAGTAAACTATTTCATTTTATTTTCATGGCATTCACATAGTATTCATTGTGTATATATAATAAGAAAATTATAAAGTTAATTTAAAGGTCTTGTATTCAGTCCTTATAGTCACAATGAAATTTGTTCAAATGAATTAATATATAAACCGTGAAATGTATGAAGTCACACCTGACGCCTCATTTTGCTTAATATCAATTTTCGACAACTCTCTGAGTAGATTTGCAAATACGAATGCTCATTTCGTCATGAGCATATATTTCCATTCTCTGTTAATACTTTGAGAGAGAAAAACACCAAAAACCGCTTATTTTGTTTCATTTGACAGACGTTTTTTTCCCAAAAATTTCCTACACTGAAAATAAATTAAGTGGAAGACAAATCATATCAAAATTTGAATAAGTGCATCATTATTCAGCTTTATGTACGCCTTTTATTTTATCTCCATAGTTAATACTTATCCCTCGTATCATTCATAAATTTGTACTTTGTTTGCCCTTTCCCGAGAGCGAAATGTTACATTTAATTTCATGTTGCCTCCTCTTGTGCGAAATCATCATACTGATTACTTGTTCGTTCAACGTTTTCTGAATCTCTAGAAAGGTGAATTGAATAGGAATTTTGTCCCTTTTGGTATGTAATGGTAACGTTAGCAATACCATTGTAAAGATTTTCAGCCGGCATCATCTGGTATACATGTTCTTGACCATCCCTATTTCTTCTTTTAGCATAATCGTATATTCTACTCCGTTTGCCCAAATCAAGTAATTGTCTTTTAATCTCTTTTCTCCATACCCATAAAATGTTATTAATAGCAATGAACATAATGCTGGTCAAAGAAACAATTACTAGTAGAACTTTTAATGTCCAAATATTTTCTCTATCCTGTACGTTATTTCCTTCGAGTTCTGTATGTCCATTTATTTCAGTAAAATTTGGGCTTCCATTTGGATTTAATGCTGCATATATAAATTAGGTATCATACTGTAACTATGATTATTATACCGTTTATTAAAAAAGATAAAGTTTCTTTACATTAATAAGAATAGTTAGTTAATATTTTAATACGTATTTTATAGTACTGTTCTTAATAGATGTATATACTTATTTTAAATGTAAAAATGTTCATTTAGAAAAAAAAAATGAAAAAGATGAATTACCTGTACTATGCACAAGACAACCATAGAAGGGGTCGCAATGCAGTTCTGTGCAAAAACATTTTTCTTCACATGCTTCTCCATAGTAAGGATATATGCATTTTTCAGAACAGTTGTGCCCAAAGTATCCATTTTCACAACCTTAAAAATTGCTTAAAATATAGACATGTAAGTACATGTACAAGTTTGACCTACTTTATTTTTTTCATAATGATAAACTTACATAGTACACATTGTTAACTTTTTCATAGTGTTAAAGTTCCTTGGGTTGTTTTCATGCGATGACTTTTGAACAGTGAAAGATATCAACTTCATATCTGGTATGCATGCTCAACCAGTTAAGATCCTTTACGTTGCACCAAGGTGGATGACCTTGTGACCTTGACTGTGACCTATATGCTAAAACATGTTTTTCCGAACTCTTTCCATTACTTCTGAACCATAAAAAATGGAGAAATCTTAGTTGGTATACACACTTCGCTTATTGAAATCTATCAAATGACAGCAAGGTCAATGACCTTGTTACCTTTACTATGACCAAAAAACAGAAAGCTAAAAATATCTCTTTCTAACTTTCGCCATAACTTTTAAACCATAAGATATAGAGACATCATCCACTGAATAAGAGCTCTCAAATGTCTCCAAGGACAATGCCCTTGACTGTAACCTATATGCTAAAATAGCTTTTTCGAACTTTCATTCATTTGTTGCCACCTGGAGAATAGTGATTCACAATCACGTCTTGTTTTAAAGTTGCTGTTTCGAGACTATAAACTGTTTCATACAAAAAGGTGTTTTAGAATAAAAACCAGCAAGCATATCGAGCAAAAATTTTTAATGGGAAATGGCATAAGGAAAAAAAGGTTCAAAATCAAAACAAAAGGTGTGAAAGAGAAAAGCAGTTAAAAATAATTTTTCGCAGAATTTGTGGTTAAACATTTTTTTTTATTACTTGTCATCAAACAAAGTTTTTAAGGTAGTCCGATCCTCAACTCTATAAAATTAGCAGTTAAGTAATCAAAAATACTCAAAAAAGTATCTCTGAATCCACAAAGTTATGTAAATTTATCCACAGTATTTCTTTAAACTTGAAGATGAAAGTTAATCATATTTTATAGGGAAAATTGTCAAATCTACAATATTTTTGTAGAAAAAGCAAATTGGAATAAGCAATGTATTTTCTAATTGCAAATTGATCGATTGTTCGATTTTATATATTGCAGAGAAAATAACTGTTTTCTTCTAGATGATCTTTAACATTTTCAGCAGTGACATAGACCATGTAAACATGAAATCATCGTCACATAAAAAAGTGTAAAGCGTAAACCATTGTTATGAAATGTTTTCTGCGTCGTATTACCGTTCACGTAGCTCAGTCGGTAGAGCGCTCGCTCCGTGATCGGGAGGTCGTGTGTTCGTATCTCGGCCGCGACTGACCTAGTCGTTAAAATGGGTAGCAACTGTTCCTTCGCATGGTTTGAAGTGAAAGTTGCCGGTCCTTCGGATGAGAATTTAAAAACTGAGGCCCCGTGTCAGCGGCAGGCGATGGCAAGATAAAGATCCATCACTGCTCAATGGCCCTGAGTGCCGGGTAAAGATCAAAATTTGAAGCCCTTCACCGGCATACGGTGACGTCCCCATATGAGTGAAAAATTCTCGAGAGGGACGTTAAACAATATACAATCAATCAATCTACGTCGTATTGAAACGCAACACACCTCTTCTTAAAGAATACCAGAGAGGGAAGATATGTACATAAAACACAGCATTTGAACTCACCATGCTACGGGAATATATTTGAAAAATGAATTTTATTTTTCAAAATTAAAAGGACATGAAAATAGTTGCTTCTCTCCGGCATATTTCATGAAGCTGCACAAAAGTTATATTATTCAACGATTGTTTTTTTAAACAAAATAGTACTATAGTTTTGACATCAAATGTGTCATCATGTCAGCACAATGGAGATAGCGCTCATCCATGTACAGGATAAAAAGAATTATTCTTTCACTCGCAGAGAATCTGAAGGAAAAAATTTCTAAATTATTATATAATCTGCCAGATAATATAATTTATGCATGAAGATATTTATTTCATAATATATATAGCAGATATATGTTCTATGAACCAACATCTTTTCATTCAATGTGTACAAATGTCTGACCACGCCCCCACCCCCACCCAACATCGCTTAGTGTTAAAAGCATGAGGAATTTGGACTTGGACGACTATGCACTAGTTTAGAATACTTGTATTTATGCTAATATAGTAACAAACATGTTTTGACGTTGAGAAACTGAGTTTGAAAAGAATGAATGTTATTAGTATTTTCATGACCATTGATTAGTACATCATATATTAGTCTCGGGAAAATTCATTGGGAAATTTTTTGACTAGACGTAAAAACTGCTATTGAGGTGAAAATATGACTGCAATATGAAATTTGATTTACAATTAATATTTCCCCCCAAAACGAGGGCATTATCACATCTATTAATAGTTCCATATACACTTTTTTATTTTCAATAAATATAAGCTTATTATTCAATATCTGGAGGAAATGATATAATTTGTTTCAACTTTATTGCCTGTATTGCATAATAAAACATTCATAAATATCCAAAGATTAAAAAATAGTGGTAACCATGGCAACCATAACTTCCTTATAACCCTTATGACCATGGTTGATACTTTGATTTGATAGCATCATTGACATAAGGCACATAATACGTAAAAATTAGAAATATTCATGGATTTTTTGCACGAACCCTTACGTTAATTTTGGTTAAAGGCAGAAATGAATAAATATACCCCCTTTCCATTTTGGGGTACTAATGAAAAAGATGAAACAATAAACTGTTATGACAAACTTAAAATTTAAAATCGGTTGACCCTTTGATTTTAAATCTAAATAATATCTAAAATCAATATGTACTTAATTTGGATATCAAGTAATATTGCCAATATAGAGAGGAGTTGGATTTGTTAATGATTGATTAAGTCTGAAACGTACCAACGCAGGAGCTACTTCTTTTATCCCAAGAAGTGTTTGGACAGCATCCTCTGTAAAACCTGGAAAGAATAAGCAGTATTCCAACTTGTACCAAAATGATATTATTGGCAGAAAATGATATCATTGACAGAAAATGATATTATTGACAGATAGTAATTCAGTTAGTTATGAGTAACTAGGGCCTATAATAATTCAATCTGAGCTTGTTCTTTGATACCGTTCTTATATTTTGTAGAAACCGACAATATGCACGTAGCTTCATAGGTATGTCATCGTCCATTGGAATATTCTGTCGGAGGCTGCAAATTTATACGTCTACGCAATACTGTCGGCGACAATAAGACCGCGGAACATTAACTGGCAAGGTTGGAAATATGAAGCTTATATCATTTCTATCTGTTTCAATAAAAATATTCAATGATAGACAATGCAATTGGCGGGTACAATTCAACGCGGACGGCCGAGAAAATATTAGATTCAAATTCTAGTTTGATATTCATTCTCAATCCACCTCAGTTACACTAGAAGTCACGTTATTACTGATTGACCCAGAAGACAAATAATTTAAATTTCAGTATACATGTAGTTTGAAAATGATAGATGATACATAAATCAGAATTTTCTGTCCAGCACTTTTAAAGAAATATATGAAGGGACGAATATTTGATATATGTTTGGTATATTTTATGTATGTGAACTTTTTTTTGGAGGGGGGGGGGTGAATGATCTTGGAAATAAATAGGAAAGTTGTCAAACATATTTAATTGAAGACAAAACAAAAGCTCTTGACATCCTAAAAAAAAATTGGTACAAAGCATGATCTGACTTGACAATTTTTACACACACACACACCCTTCCCCCATCTTTTAGAATCAAATGACCGTCTCTTGAAAAAGTGTCTTCTATGACTTTAACCATGGTCCTTAAAAATTATTAATAATTGAAATTATTTGTCTTTCATATCATACATTCACATTTTGCTTTTGAAAACAGCTCAGGTGGATTGAAAATGAATTTCAAACTAGAATTTCATTCCATTTTTTTCTAGGCCGAAATGTACCCGCCCATTACATTTTCTATCATTGAATGTTATGAAATGACGTAAGCTGCATATTTCAAATCTTCCCATTTAATGTTCCGCGGTCTTATGTGCCCTCACTACAGATATTGACTCATACCTTTCAGGTTTTAACAGTTTATATACACATTTCCATACAGTGACGGCACGTGTTATTTTAAAATTCACGTGGTAGGAAGTAAACAGATCTAAATCTGTTTTACGATCCTTGATTTCCAGGCAGATTCCAACTACGTTGATTAATTTTGTTTGAGGAGTGGATATTTATTTTTCTCAAACTGCAGACTTCAACTTTATATCTTATTCCTTAATGATATATTGGGTAAATTAGGATAAATAAAACACATGATTTACAGCCGTACTATCGCTTTAATTAAATTTCTAAGTTTTTGTTATGGCTAACAGGATCAGAAATAATCATACATTTTAATGCAAACAGTTGTCAAACCCCTTTGTTATAAATATTTAATTATACATCGGTATATCCATAGTACTGAAAAAATGTTAACATACCCGAGACAGGGACCTTCTCCACATAGAGAAATCTGCAGATCAGAAATGATGATTAAGAAAACAATAACCTTGTTTGCAGACATTAAATTCATTCCGAATCGCATTATTTTACGAAATTCTGGGTGTATTATTTTCATTCAATAATAACCACAATTAGACAACACCATTAAAGCATTTGTCACATGCAAGTCTATAAAAGGAAGAATTTGTCGTATTTGAAAAACAAAATCAGCTTCAAATTAAACATTTAAATCCTCGTGTATAGAACATATTTTTCTAATATGCATGTTTTTCTTCCGTGTTTGTGTTTCCTTATAATTATATACACTTTTAAAATAATGAACATATTCAACCATGTGTTTAGAGAAATCACAGTTTAATCTATGACCCGATATGGATTATACAGTTTCATTTGAAAACTAGAGTTTTCCAAGGAACGCATGCGTCCCCTGCTTTGAGCTTTTTTATGGAATCCGATGTAACCAAAACTAGAAGTGGTTATCCATTTATATGCCACAAGCATATACAGTATTTCATACAAAACAAGATGTGTTTGTGAAACACTATACGCCAGGCGGCAACAAAGTTCGGAGAAAGCTATTTTTAGCGTTAAGGTCACACTCAAGGTCACATTGTCATTGACCTTGGTGTCATTTAAAAGAGCTTGATAAGTGGAGTATGTGTGCCTAATATGAAATCTCAATTTCTCCTGATTCCAAAGTTATGGTGAGGATTCAAAAAAGCTATTTTTAGCATACAGGTCACAGTCAAGGTGAAAAGGTCATTCACCTTGGTGTCATTTGAAAGGACCTATTTAGTGGAGTATGCATACCAAATATGAAGTCTCTATCTTCCATGGTTCAAAAGTAATGGTGAAGGTTAAAGTTCGAGACAAACAAACAAATAGACAAACAGACAGACAGGACAAAAAACAATATACGCCCAGGATCTATCGATTCGGGCGCATAGAAATCTAGCTTGAAAGTTTATAAAGTGACAAAAAAAACAAAACTCATTCTCACATAGTAAATTAGACTGCCCGAGAGTCTGTCAATTCAAAAAATCCTCAAAGGAATCATTAAGTTGAAATCATAATAATTAATTATTTATCATTTTACATGTGTTAAATACGTGTTTCTATGTCTCTAGTTTCAATACTATAGGTCATCGTTGTGATACATGTATTACGGAAAATAAAAAAAAAGTTCTCATGATTTATTCAGAAATTAATAGAAGTATTATATTAAAGGTTTTTTAATGCAAAACATCTGCAGAACACTTATGTCTATGCTGACAGTGACAGATATTAAAACAGGATGCCCATTGGCCACATCGCTCACCTGATCACTGTGGCTTAAAGCAAAAATCAATTCGGTAAATGCATAACTTGTCCTGACCCGTAAAAAGGGGTATGGTTTTAACAACTGAAAATCTACCCAAACTTGAATCTTTACTAACTTAGGATGATAACATATTTGTTTAACCTTAACGGCTTTCTCCATATAAGTTTCAACTTTTATTGTTTTATTTTATAGTTCCACGCTATCCCCTGGAGTCATGATTTTAACAAATCTGCATCTTCAAAGTATCTGAGGATGTTTCCATTAAAAGATAACCTAACATGATTTTGCTGTTCTTGAGCGTGTTGGTAAGACTTTCCTACTTTTTTCTACGTAAAACTTTGGTCCTCCACTGTGGCCCGCGCTAATCCTGTGGGTCATGATTCAAACAAATTTGAATTTACTCTACCTGGGAATATTTCCATATAAATATCATTAAACATGACTTTGCTTTTCTCAAGAAAATGATTTTTAATAATATTATTCTATACATTTCTATGTAAATCTTTGACCGTCCCTTGTGAACCCACCTTACCCTCCGGGCATCATAATTTGTATCTTAAATCTATACCACCTTAGGATGCTTCTATATAATATGACCAATCATGACTTCTCTATTCCTCATCAGAAGATTTTTAAAGATTTTCCCATGTAAAACTACCAATCATGGCTTTCCTGTTATCCAGATTTTTTCCTATATATTCCTATGTAAAACTTTGATCGTCCGTTTTAGCCCAACTCTACCACCGTGGGTTATGATTTAAACAAACTTAAATTTACACTACCTGTGGATGCTTACATATAAGTTTTATCTTTCCTGGCCCAGTGGTTCTTGAAAAGAAGTTTTGTAAAGATTTTTCCTGTATATTCTTTTATACATGTAAAACTTTGATCGTCCTATATAACCCCATCCTACCCCCAGGGATCATGATTTGACCCAATTTGAATCTACACTGAGGATGTGTTCAAATTAATTTCATATTTCCTAGCCCAGTGGTTCTTCCATGAGGAGAAGATCTTTAAATGATACCACTGATTTATTTAAAATTATCTCCCCTTGGAATACGGCGTGGCCCTTCATTTAACAAACGTTAATCCCCTTCATCCAATTAAGAATACTTTGTGGCAAATTTGGTTGAAATTGGTCAGGTGGTTTTTGAGAAAAAAAGTTGAAAAGTTGAAAAGTTTACAGACAGATAATATCAATCCTATGATCGACTATATGCTACCGATTCGATTTTATAAACGATAGAAAGTTTTACAATTTGGCAACACTATTCGATATGCATATTGCACATAGACAGTTTAATGCATGTGTAGCACAATCCTAAAAGCTGGCAATGGACTTGATGTAGGCATCATGTGGTATATTCTTTCCTTTAACTTTTCTTTAGACAGCACCGGGATATTTTTTCTATTGGTTTAAGGTATTCATCTCGGATGTGCAGATCAAAGCTGTTTCACTACAAAATAAAGAAAAAAACCCAGCAGCAGAACTTCATTCTTTACTTAGCAAAAAAGGGAACATTCTAAAAAAAAAAGGTAGTGGGAGGGCGGGTTTTTAAAGTTACAAAACATTTCATGTATTTTATTGCAAGCAGTTGTTATGTGTCTTTACCTTCGAAAGGTTCAGGAGAAAGGAATGTGAATAACAATCCCGACCTTTTATATACTACACTTGATGTGTCAACCGAACCCGACCCTTAAAAGCCAACATTCAAATAGCAAATACTTGGGACCTATAAACTAGGATATAGGTCCCTTCAAATATACTTTTCTTGTAAAATAAAGGCATCTATTTTGTATACACAAATAGATGCTATTAATTTTGAAATATGCTCAATTTGAAGTCATTTTAAAGGAGTTGTCTTACCGACTACAATCATAATGAAGTTAGTTCATAATGAATGAAGCTTTTTTTCAATGTCATACAAATTAACATAACTTTTAATGATTTTTTTTAATACCACTTCGCGGTATATGAAGCGTAACTATCACAGGGTATGATAAATTGCACAATATAAGTTAAAATAAGCTTCATTCTTTTAAAAATATATTTTGTTAATATAAACTACAATATGTTACACATTTCTTTGTTGTTCTTTTATTTTCGAAATGCATATTACAATAAGATCAAATTTTATATCCAGTAAACGATTGATCAGCACCTGTTGAGTCACTGCTGCTAAACATAGTTCCTCCTTGAATGATTTTTACCCATACTCTATCATTTTTGTTCAGCTTTAACGCTATGGAGTTAGTAGAAATTCTATAGGCGTGGTCACGTCTTCCATATAAAAGGTGTTTAGCCATCTCAACTCCATTTAATTGAATACTAAAAAAAATATCTTGATTGTTCATTTCCTGTGTGAGTCTGACAAAGAACACGTAAGTTCCATCAACAGGTGCTGTGAAGATACCGTTTTTATTGTTATATCCACCGCCGACATTACAAAGAACGTGAAGAAAGACTAGTGTCTGACCATTAGAAGGGGTGATATATGACGTTATTGTAGCACTAAATGCTACAGTATCAGATGTACCTGAAAACATTGAAAATAAATCATCAATCAGCAATAACTATTGTTAAAATACGTTGCTTGATTCGTTCTATTTTTTAACAACTTGTATTTAGTTTGTGGGTGAAATAAAAACAAACATGATCGGAAAATTTTATAATTAGCTCAAAATTCAATATAATTTTAAATATTTACATTTCCAATGTTTTTTGCGAGACAACATTACAAATAATTAATGTACTGTATCTGTAATGAATGTAATGCTTTATTAAACGTCACGTTTTAAAAAACATGCAGGGTGGCACTAATAGAGAAAAAAGCGGGGCTTTTAGCACTTGGAATGGCGGAATCAAGAGCATGTAAGGAATGCATTTTTTCTTACAGTTGCATGAGGAAATCGTCGAAGGCATTTATGCATAAAATGATCACGCAAGCCAATCGATTAATCACATCACGAAATCGAAAAAAAACGAAAACGATACCATTTAAAATTCAATTCCTCTAGTAAATGTTGGCTGCGTAAAATATAAATTGAAGTTAGACACATGCATCACCTATATTCAAAAATGTATTTAATTTTCAATTTTAGAATATAAAACACGAATTCTGCAGAGTACATGTACGTTTTTATGCGAGAAGTAAAATTCGATTTCTTAAAAAGGGGACCTGTCGTTTTTTCGATAATAAAGGAAAAGCAACTTTATATATTAAATATGAAAAACATATATATTGGAAAAGATTCACTTTATGGAAGAAAATATATTATGTATCTCGTATTTTATAAAGGGAAAGAACATTTTGATTAGCAATCTTTTCAATTTTTAGAAAACCTTTAATTCTGAATAACTACTTCCACCTCAATCCCCATACACCAGTGCTTAGTCTTTTGACGTCTGGATTGACAGACATTGCACCAAGAAGGGTATTTCACACTTGCAAATACCGTAAAGTGGGTTATTTTAGCGGGGTGCTAATTTTGGCTTATTTTGGCGTTTTGATAGAAGCCCGCCAAAATCTTAATCGCTAAAATATTAAGTACTCTTCTTAGTGATTATCTGCAAAGAGTAGAAACCCTGAGTCCGCTAAAATAAGTTGCGCCAAAATTATTGGCATACCTTTGAGCAGTCTAAACGCCAAATTTTACACCCGCCAAGAAAACCCGCTATACGGTATTAAAAATCTTTTGACAAACTCTATCTCGATTGACTGCTTTAACTCCAATTCTTAATTACATAATGCCATGGTTCACTTTCTTTTTGCTTAATGAATGACTCTAATTCTTTGCCATATTATCGAATATAATCCAGGTTGGGTCAGTTTACGCTTTATAAATCGAGAGTCGGATTATAAAAAAGCGTAAACTGACCAAACCAGATTGTACTCGATAGTATGGCCGAGGATTAGTGTCATTCCTTATAATTTAATTTTAAGATAATTAAACAACTTTGGATGTAAAATTGTGTTGCTTTCTGTGAGTTCAAATTTACCGCGCAATAATACAACCGAAGAAACGAAAGTGATTTAAAGCGATGGGAGGTATTTACTAATACATAGATCTAGCAGCCATGATGTTTGTTTACATGAGGTTAGAACACGTAACCGTTTGAAGTTGAAGGAACATTTATTAAATCTGAAAATTTTCATGGATTCCGAGGACCTGGAATGAAGGGATTGTATGGATAGGATGATTAACTAGGTCGTCAAGGGGGTGTGTCCCAAAACCAAATCAGATCATACAAAATAATTTGCGTTCCTTTTTTATAGTAAGCGCAGTGCAAATAGAACATTATGTTTACTTTTACGGACATCATATAGAAATATATTATTACAGAGAAAGATTTCTTGAAGAAATAAATGTAAAATAAAATTTTGGTTTTAATAAATTGCTTCTAAAATCATAGCTCCTTTGATATAGCTGATGTAGACGGACGAAGCACAATAAAAAAAGCTAAAAACTGACGTTAAGATTCTTAAATTTTCCTCGCTGTCTTTCTATGATTTGCAATTTTTAACAATTAACGTAGGTATAACTTTCTTATAGATCTACACACGTACTGAAATTTTTGAAGTAATGTAAGATTGGTGTCCCCTGCTTCCGGAAAAACAGGTTTGCCTCGCGCGAAATTTACAAATTATTGAATGTATGTAAATTCGAAAATTCCTTAAAAATGTGTACAGAAGTTTCTTTTCATATACAATATTTATCACACGATGATATTTATTTTATGCGAAAGTTTGTACACTTCATAAGTCTTTGATTCTTTATTTCACGCGTTAAACATTTCATTTAGTACTATTATTTAGCAAATCAAAAAGGAAACATTTTTATTTAACAAACGAGGCTCTTGTTATTGCAATAAATAAAATCCAAACAGTAGCAGCTCTATAGGTCAAATACATGTATACACGTTTATTTCAGTGAAGAATCATTTTTTTAGATAAAGTCTCATAACTGCATCGATATTCGTATGTAAAAAGTGCGTTATGAAAATTTGTTTGCACTAACGCTGCGGCTAAATGTATGAGACAATATCTTTTCAAAAATAATAATTCCTTGCTTATATTTAATTTTAATAATACTCTTTGCCTTGGCTGCAAATGTGATGTATATTTTAAAACTCATGTATTGTCCTTCGTATAAGCTTCAGTCAATGAAATAGCCAATGCAACAGCTTCTAGTCAATGTGAGAGTGATTTTTGAATTTCGCTAATAATGCCGCACTTCCTCGACGTTCAACGATTGTAACGTCAAATTAAAAGCATACTGGCACATTTTGACCCCCTTTCCGTGCCTTGATGCCTTGAATGCCGTACATTTCCATTCACTTCATATCATATGCAACAAGAGGCCCATGCGTCACATTGCTCACCTGAGTAACTTTGGTCATTTTGTCATTTCATAGATTCCCCACATTGTAAAACCTAATTTGACCTTGACAATCCATGTCATCCAGGGTCAAAATTAAAATATGTCATTTCATAGATTCCCCACATTGTAAAACCTAATTTGACCTTGACAATCCATGTCATCCAGGGTCAAAATTAAAATAATTCAGAACCTATACTACCCAAGGATGCTTCCACATAAGTTTCAGCTTTTTTTGTCCAGTTGCTTTTGAGAAGATGATTTTAAAAGTTTTTTTTTTCTAAATATTTCTATATAAAACTTAGATTCCCTACTGTGACCCGCCCTACCCCTGGGGGTCATGATTGAAACAATTTAGAATCTATACTTCCCCAGTATGCTATCACATAAGTTTCAGCTTTTCTGGCCAATTGGTTCTTGAGAACATTTTTTAATTATAATTACCAGATTGTGATATTTTCTTGATTATTTCCCCTTGGAAGAGTACTTGGCTCTTTATTATCAAATTTTAAATTACTTTTACCCAAGGATCCTTTGTATCAAGTTTGACTAAAATTTAAACAGTGGTTCTTGTGAAGAAGTTGAAAATGAGAAATGTTTACGGACGGACGGGCGGACGAACGGAAAACAGGTGATCAGAAAAGCTGTCTTGATCTTTCAGTTGAGATGATCTAAACATGTGTAATATAAATGTATCACGTTAGACATTGTCAAAACTGTGCACAAAATATGGTACCTTACTTGGACTTTATGAAACCTTTAGACGTCTCTTGTATGCCATAGGGAGCTGTTAAAAATATCATTGCAAGTCAAAGGCTCCTTGAAATTTTGTGTGGAAAGAAAAATAATACAGATAGGAAGAAACACAACCTGACGGACGATCGGGAAAACTGATGAACATCAATATCGATAGCCGTCCCATGTCGTCTATAGAGAAACGACATGTAAAGTTTAAATGCTAAAAGTTTTCTTAAGAATTCGCGTGGAAACGATAGTGTTACAGACTGATTGAAAAACAAACAGACGCATGGACAGACAGACCAATCTTATGTCACCCACTTTTAGCGGGGGACAACAACTACTTGTACAAAAAAGACATCTCATGAATTGAAGGATCAGTGTCCTGTAGTTTAATATATATGCAAAACGACTATCTAAATCCAGTGTAGTCTTTAATGAAATAAAATACATGTAGTCAACCAGGGTATACCCAAAAACATAAATTGAGGAATTTAAGACGGTTAGACATTAGTAAATGCAAACCTTGAGTGATGAACAGGAATAAGTTCATCGACGAAAATTTTATTTGAACTGTTAGGAAGATAATTGAAAATAACCAACACAAAACAATATTTCAGAAATATCTATATGTTTGGGATTTGAAATCCTTATTTATGTACATGTACTATTCCAGATAGATAGATTTTCTCCTGAACCAGAAATGGTAAAGGGTCATTTAAGCTTAGTGTATATGGTAAGTCAATCAGTAAATTGTAAAATTCTTACCTAAATGTAAAAAAAAAGTTCTCTTTTTTTTTAAAATTAATGCTTATGACGTCGAAGATTTATGGCAATTTGACTTCATGATATAGCCAGTTAAATAACATAAAATTGATCTCAATTTACAATACTTTGATATAGAACTTTGATTAACACATTAAATAAAATATTCATCTATATTTTTAAAATCATTTCCCTACGCATATTTCCCTCATTATGCCATCACATATGTTTTTTCTGTTAAAGAAGTCCGTGCAATATTTGATCGGCCCTCATTCTTATCTGATAAAGGAAAACAGATAAACATGGTGCGTTAGGTTATCTTATTATAATATAATGTTAATTAATTGAATTGATAGACTTCTCCAAAAAAGGATATCCGTGCATGATATTTGTTATTGATGAAATATACATATAGAAAAAACCAACAGCAATTAAGCTCAAAACCCAATTAAACAATACATGTCACAATCGCGACCCTAGCAAACACGCACCTACAATAAAATATCAGAGATGGGAACAGGTGCCGTTGAATAATCAGTATGCCCCGTCGACGGGTCTCATCTGCTAAGTGCTCGACATGGTAGTCTGTATTTGATACATGTAATTTGCCCATTGTTTCTACCATAACACTCAAGAGATCTTGAGGAGACTTTTGATTTTCTTGTTTTATTAACTTGTCTTATCCATAATTATGTCAAAGAAATATTGATAGTTATAGCGGCAAATACCGTAAATAAACAAGTTTATGAGCAAAATATAAATTATTCATATGACAATCTACCAAGTAGAAGTAAGCCTCAATAATACCTCAATAAACACTTCATAACGCTTGGTAAGGCCATTGGAATGACATGAGGTCAACAACCTAAAGAACAGTCGTTAATTTACATACCCAAAATACGAGTGTAGGAAATCATTGATTTGAGTAATTTAATTGAAGTTATTAGAATAATCACTGGCAATTTCAATTTCAACTAGGTAATGAAGAAGGTATACATTTATGTTGTTACATTTCGGCACTCTTTTGCTGGTATACACATGTTTAGTGTTCCTCAATTACAGAATTCAGCATGTGATAAGATGATAAAAAATTGTGTTATTCTCTTTTAGTTCATGATATTGTGATAAGGTTTTACAAACCTAATAAAATTTATGTAGTTGTGATATTTCTTATGATTTCAGAAATGTCTTTGGACGTTTGGATATCTTCATGCTCCATCCGAACTAATGATCTTGATGCCCCCATGATGATAATAAAGGGTTTAAATACATATAAGACTTTCCTCGGGTATAACAACATTTTAGAACTTAGGATCTTGACCTTTCAGTCAAGTGACTTAAACCATGGTCCTTAGCAAATGTCAGATTCATTTTCTGGTGCCATTCGCGGTCACTCAAAAAAAATATCTGTCGAAAACAAAGACTATGAAATCGTAGATTGTTTTAGGGTAAACTTCCCTTACTTCAGGAAAAGAATTTTTTAGGATGGGTTTCATTTCCTTCATTTTTGGAGAAGTGTAATATTATATTTCTAGATTTAAAAAAAATTGTAGAGGATATTAGTTATTTTCATTCAAGAAATATATTTGATTTTACAGTATACTATGTTTTATAATACACTTGTAAAATCTATATACATCTCGATATTTGTGTTTAAAATTTCGAACTTTAGCTTAATTAGGCTAGAGCCCATGTACATGTACCATACATCCCTATTTTTACCTTCTCTATCAAGTAATTGAGTTAAGTCGCTATATTTTCTCTTACTGACGCCTACATTTGAACTTGATATTCAGTAATTATAGCAATTATTCTTACCGTTCATGAAGACGTCCACCTTTGAGAGGAAAGATTCAATGTCTTTAATAGATGATGTTAATTTATTGTTTTTGTTCTCTAACCCAAAGTATTTTTTTCCTCAAATTTAGTACTTCGCTGTCAATATGGTCTGTAAAATAAAAAAACAAATCTTATTAGTCCCCTACCGTTGAAACTGGGGGGGACTATAGGTTTCCTCTCCGTCCGTCCGTCTAGCTGTCTGTCCGTCTGTCTGTCCCCGTCAGTCTGTCCCACTTGGTTTTCCGCACTTTTTTTTCTAAACGCTTGCATATATTGAGCTGAATTTTGGTATGTGAATGTATCTTAATGAGTTACAGATCAAGTTTCAATTTCGCTTCGCTTCATTGATTTTTTTACAGAACTATGGCATTTTGAATATTTTTCATAATCGCTTAATTAAGATCGGGTTCGAACTGCGCTAACTTCCGATTGTCAACAAAAATATGAAGCGAGACGATGGAGAAATTAGTTGAATTTTCGTCTTAATGTGGATTATTTTATTAGTTTTAAGGCATTTACAACTTGGACATGACTTTTGCATATTATAAAATGACATCCTGAAGAAAAAGGGGAATCCGGTAGGGGACATGTATTGCTTATGCAATACTCTCAGAATGCTTGTTAGTAGATAAAATACCTTTGAAAAATGTAATGCTTATCATATTGAAATATAAATTGTAAGTCATTCCTTTTATACATTGTAATAAACCTACATTTTATACATTTTTATTGTAAAAAATAAAGTAATCAAAATGTTTAGACATGAAAGATCTTGCAGGAAAATCATTGAGCATTTCACTGAAAGAAAAATTATAATAAAACCTTTCTTCAATAACAACCTCATTGAAAAACTAAGTTTCTTAAAATGAAAGCAAACAAAAAATATAGGATTTATTTATCAATGCAAATCACATTTTCTGGGTTTCTACAAATTAAATTTTCTTGAAGTTATCATTTCTAAACTATCCTTGAATTTTATTTACAATTTCTTTAAGATAAGTATTTTATATATTTATTCATAAAATAAAATAATTAAACTCAAATTCATGATGTTGAACTAATGTTGCAATGTTTTATCTGATCATAGAGTTTTATAGTCTTGGGGGATATATAAAAAAAAAGGGGGAAAATGATTACCTTTTAATGTATTCGAAACATTTATTTGCTGATCTTTCAAATCTGCATTAATGTACGCCTGTTGATGCTTATCCTGTTCATATTCTGTCGAGAAATTTTGAATGCCTACGTTTATTTGCAATAATTCTTGATTGATGAGATTTGCACTGGTGTTAAAAGTTTGTAAAATACTTGAATTCATAGATTCTGTTTCTCTCTCAAGGTCTAGAATTGAGAGAGAAATGTACCTAACCTCCCTCTTAAAATTCTGAATCTCTTTTGTTATGTTTGCAAAATCACACTGACATACAGTCTGGCCTGGGATTGGAATACTATTTAAAGAAACGTTCACATGTTGTTGATGATACATTATCGCTTCCTTTAGGTTGTCATTTTCTTTGGTGAGTTTTGTTATGTTCTTAAGTAGTTGTTGATTCAATGCGTCCTGGTCAATTTTGGCTTGCTTCAGAATACTTATTTCCGTTTCAGCTGCAGTTTGGTCCTTTTTCATTTGTTCAAATTGCTTTGTTAAATCCCGGACATTCCTTTCTAGTTCCATCCTCAGTGTGGTTTCTTGAGTAAGGATCTGATGTAATAATGCTGCATCACTATGAACATTTTTCTCGGGAGAATTAGATGCATATTGTGTGGTGGATGTTGAACTGGGGCTTAAAAGTCCAAAGGTGAAAACAGCGTTGATTGAAATCAAGAAACTGAAAAGAATCGTCATTTTATTAAATCACGCTAATTCTACACTCACAATAGTTCAGGTACATTTGCCTGAACAAGCACTTCGCATTTGTATTTCAAGTGTTTATCTTAGTACTGCGTGGCCGCATATCATAAGTCAACATTTTTAGTAGGCCCATGATTAAAATATTCTGTAAAAATACTGATAACAGGTGGGTAAAATAATGTCAGTCATGTGGTCCAAAGTACTCTTGTACATTAAAGTCAGTATAACTAAGTTTAAAAATTGCAGAGATATTAAAAAGAAGCGTGTTTTCTATTCTTAATTGACTTATATTAAAGCTGAGCACAACTTATGACATCTACCGCTATATTTTACATTCAACAACACTCTCCCTACAACCCCTATATAAGGAGCAGGGGATCTCTTAACAGATAATTATTGTTTTTCGCTATAAAGGTCGGACGAGTGAATATGTACATCTTTTCTGCTGTGCTACTCGGTCGCAATGCGATTATTAAATTTTACGCATTTTTCCAAAACAGGAGAAAACCATCATGACAATTTACACTTGAGACACCATTTACAAAAAAGCAAAGCACTTTAAAACAAAGAATAATCGCAAGAAATCTAATATCACGCAAGAAAAACTTCATGTCGGCCACGAATTTCAAGTGTGCAATCGGGTGTAAAGAAATCGAAAATGTATATACCCATCTGACAGTGCCTATTTATGAGAAGTGTTCAGCTTCAATTGACCAAGAGATAAAGAGGAGGCATGTTAAAGCAACACATAAGCGTTGTGCTTGCGATTCTGATAAGGAAAATATGTTTTAAAGACATTTTAATGTTTTTGTTCATCATCTTTTATTTTATTTTTATTGTAATGTGATAACAAATAAAATTAATGGAAAAATATTGATTTTATTTTTTTGAAATATAAACTTTATTTCATTCCATCCTTCAACTACCCCTTGCATTTGGTCTAATTTAATTATTCCTCACTCAAACAAAAATACTTATTTTTTTTCTTCAATAAAAGTTCGTAACGTCAAAATTTAAGGAGGGAAATAATTTATATTTATAGGAATTTAGCAATATCATACACAGCAAAATGCGAAACCAACGTAAATTTATAAATAAAATAATTGGTCATAATTAATTTTGTAGTTTAGAGAATCTGAAAATGTAATTATGTTAATGGATGATATAAAATATAAGATAGCGACAGAAAAATTCAGATAGTAAATGTAATAAGTCAAAAGTGACTTATGTGACCTAGATATTTAAAACAAATTTGTGAGATTGTATTAAATTGAAGATAAATAAAACTATACACTGTGTTACCTTTATCTCTATTAAAAATTTATGGAAAGGGCTTATATAGGCTATGCCTGCTGCCCAATCCATTAATGTATTTTACATAATAAAATATGTTCAAATCAAAATCTCTATTAAAAAAAACCTTTACCCATTCTCTATCTCTAGTTAAATCTTTTAAACTTTTAAATTTCAAAATTTCTCTACAGCACCAATTACGGAAGTATGGCGTCCATGGGTAACAATTTCCGACGCAGTAGCTTTGGTCCAGCTGTTCTCCGAAACCTTTGAATTAAGATTCCGTCCAGATATTCTGAAAAAATGGGTTTTTTTAAATATTTGAAAATTTGTGAAACAACCGAATAACTTTGAAATGTACGAAGTAACCAATTCTTTGGTTTCTTGAGATTTTTGCACATCTACATGTATTCCCGTTAGTAATTGTAATTAGGAAATTTCCTATTGTAGGTCCAAACTACCCCTAAAAGCCATAAATTAACAAGTTTAAATATTATACTAACTGAGGAAACTTTAACAGAAATTTTCTTGAGAGGTTTTTAAATTTTTTTTCAAGATATATTAAACTTTATTGTAAAATTTTCTGTCAAAACTTGCATATAAGACATGTACAACAAAGCAGAACAAATCATTAAGATCGAAATTGGCTTTTCTGACTATATTTAGTATTTTCCTTTTGTGTCTGAGATGTAATTGCACAGCATTACATGAGTTAAATGCAGGTATAAAAATTATTGAATTAGATTATCTGATCTCTTTTTCAGTTCATTATCTAGACTTGGTATAATTAATAGGTGTACAAGGACATGAGCTTCAACCACCACCTAAGAGTGATAACATTTAAAATCATATAGAAAAACTATCTACATGCGTTTTATATTTTTAAGGATAGAAAATAAGTGTGTCACTCTAAAGGATAATTATGTCCTCGTGTACATGTAAAATACCAATACTTCATGTAACTCAATTCTCTTTGCCAGATAATCAAGTGGACGTAAAGTAAATAAAGCAAAATAAATTGAAAAATAAAAATGCAGCAGTATCTGACCTACATGTTCATTTATTTTACATGTATGTACAAGTAATATTAAAATAGAAAATATGCAGTCGTTATATGAAAGTGTGTTTAATGTAGAGCTTAAATTATATTTAGACCATCCATTTATTAACCTACATGTAACGTGTTGTTGATAATATACGTGTCAACTATCATGTGTTTATTAATCCACGTGGAACGATTAGCAGCACAAACCATTTGTGAACTAATATTACACACATGTGTTATCCAACCGCATGTTTTTCGTACGTTGTGTGAAATATTTGTGTTTCACACACATTATTCATAATTATGTTTTGCAACATACAAAAATCGTACAGTTGTATTACACGAATGTGTTACATACTTTTGAAGTATAGACAAGTATATGCTACAACGTGTTACGAGTACGTAAAATAATTATCTGTGTAGTCATTCAATGAAACGTGCAGATATAATCTTAACGTCGTGCTTTACTATGCAATGATCAGGCACTCCAGTATAAAAATTAGTTATATGCTTGACAACCAATTTGTATAGATCGTAATTTTAATTAATTTAAATAGCGTAGAGAGTATTTAAAGAAAATATTTGCACAGAATGTATTGTACATATAAGGTTTTTTAATGAAACTTCTTATCCAAGTCCATCAGGTTATATACTAAGGATTTTCTATGATGTGCGTTGAGTCTCCTTCAGCAGCTGTTACTAACAAATAGTCCAGCAAAAAAGAATCCAACTCGTTGCAAAGCAACGAGTATTCTTTCGTTGGAGCTGCGTAGAAGGAGAAATGACTTTGAGTCAAGGTCAGGCCACATTCTCTTGATAAGCATTCTTTAAAATTGTGGATATCATCTTTTGTTTTACTATTACAAAAGATAGCAAAGGAATGTTCGTGACATTGAGCTTGTCAAAATGACCTTGCGTCACATCATGAAACACGCTAGTGATGATCATCTCCCATGTGTTACGGTACCGTATTGTTAAATCCACACATTTTTTTACAGAAAATGCATCAAGCCAAAACATCTTATCTCAATGACCTTGATTCAAGGCCACGGTACACTCGTTATGGTATGATATGATCAGTAATTCAAACCTCAAGGTCACGGAGTCAAAAATCAGTGTATTTCGAAAAATTTTGTCTCAGGTAATACAAAAGCCTAGGGTGAATTAAAAGCCCTATCTCTTCTCATTCATAAGGTATGAATATTGTTAATGTTTTTGAAAAGCAGGTCAAACTTTAAGGTCAAGGGGTCAAAAATCATAGTGAATTTTAAAAAGCCTTGTCACAGGTAATACACGTTTATGAAATTGAAGCTTTCAAAAGTTATTTTTTCAGTACGTCAAGCTTCAAAATCAAGGTCAAGGAGTACAAAATCACAGTTTTTTTAAATGTCTTGTCACAAAACATGCACATGTGAAATATGAAAGTTCTATTTCAACTCATTCAAATATTATTATCAAATTTAAAGTTTTTGTGACCAGACTGGCTGACGAATAAGGTTTATTATTATACCGCATTATAAATATTCTACAGAACGCGTTATCTGATTGGTTCTAGGTTATCACGTGATCGGGCCGTACAACTTCATATTTCCCGGCCGTCGGCACACTTTTCATCATATTCCACCTCTTCGGATACCTAGTTTATTTTCCCGCAATAATTATCGTTCATTAAAAGAAAACTCCCGAGAGTAGTAGCTTGGTTTACATCACAAAACTGATGATAATGTGTTGACCAAAGGGTTTTATAGTAACTTTACTGTAAAAAATGAAAGTGAATTTGAGAGTGGTGCCGAATTTGAAAGTTTTTTTTAAGGTTTTGCTTGTTTCGGTATAATAAACAATTTATTGCATGAATGTTCGGGAAACATGTAGACTTATTCAGCCAAGAAATATCATATTTCCCTCTGGCGAAGCCCTCGGGAAAAATGATTTTTCTTGGCTGAATAAGTCTTCATATTTCCCTCACTATCATGCAATAAATGTATAATGTACCCTAAAAATAAATACATGTAATTTGAATAAATTGAGAAATATGAATAACAAAAAAAAGGAGAGAATGTTAGAATATAAATTATGTCTCCTTCTTGATATTTCTTTAAAGACTTATAAATAAATTATTGTTCAAGTACCTGCATTACATGTACGTTGCGGATTCAAGACGCGGAGACGGGTTCTTTCGATGGTCGCGTTACGGGGCTGGATCAATATAACCTGATTCCACCTCTGATTTTAAAAGGTCTCTCTTTGCGCTGCTTTGATTTATATTGTATGAACTGTCTTGTTGGCCTGAAATATTGTTCATTTTTTCCGTATTTTTGAGTATGCCCGAAGGCCGTCAATATTGCATATATCGTACATGTATAAATGTCTAGCCTTTCACTTGCTGCAGAAATGTAGAATGATATAGTCAGACAAGAGAGCTACTGTGCCACCCATTGAAAAAAAATGTATATCTTTTGCGCACAAAAAGGTGCATTGAAGCCATATTCAATATCCGTGTTTTTCAATTGCTGCACTCTTAAAATGTTATTTACCGTGTGCATATTCCTTCACTTTTTCCTACAACAAAACATTCCTTTTAACCCTTTTTATAGTCCTAAGTTGGGGATAATTTGTTCCAACGATCTTTTTGCAGATGTCAAGCACAAGTACTTGATAGAGGTCTCAGGAAAATTTCGAAA